GTGTTAAGGCACCGTGAACAACACAGAAACTGACTGAGCTGTGAGGTACCACCTGAAGCTACAGACCTCTAGTCATCCCCACAGCCCTTGACGCTTTCCCAGTCTCATGCTAGACAGAGTACCTGTTACTACTACAGGGGACTGTTGCTACTCTACAAAGCACTGAGCTCCCACTCTAGGGATGGAGTCAGGTTTGGTCCCTTTTGAGAGTAGAGGACCATGATTGAAATGGCCTCCAGAGACACACTTGTAAAGAGGCTCACAGTGTTTCCTCTTTTCTCCTTAGGTACCGAAAGCTTCCTGGCTACCATCACCCTGTCCTTACCAATGATTGCCAGAATGCTTCCATCTATTTCCTGAAGAACCTGGAATCCTTTGGGGTGGACCCATCCAGGGTAGTTCTCTGTGGAGATAGTGTTGGAGCTTGGGTTATGGCCGCTGTCATACAGGCCTTAACGAGCTTTCCCAGTCTACCCCAAGTTACGGCTCAAGTCCTGATTTATCCAATATTAAATCTGATCAATTTTCAGTTACCTTCACATCAGCAGAACAAAAATGTGCCTTTCCTTACCAGAGATTTCATGTTTATGTGTATATGTAAATACCTTGTCATTGACCCCTCTTGGAAAGATGCCATGTTAACAGGTGCTGCCATACCTCTGGACAAGTGGAAGAAATACAGGAAATGGCTCAGCTATGACAACATTCCCAGAAGGTTCTGGAGCCAAGATCCACAACCTGAGATTCTTGGGCCTTTTAATGAGGCAGCCTATCTAGAAACAAAACATACTTGGAGTGCAAAAATTTCACCTCTTCTTTCAGATGACAAGACCATTGCTCAGCTTCCTAAGACATTTCTGGTGAGCTGTGAGCATGACATGGTCCGTGATGATGCCTTGCTCTACAAGAAGCGCTTGGAAGACCAGGGGGTCCCTGTGAGCTGGTACCATGTGGAAGATGGCTTTCATGGGTGCCTATTGTTGTTTGATAAGAAGTGTTTTTCTTTCCCCTGCTGTATGAAACTTATAAATGCTGTCATCAGTTACATCAAGGGCATTTGACAGTATGCTTGGGATTTCTGTAAATGGGGAAAGGAACACCTATGATTCAGCTGGGGCCTTTGCTTACTTAGATGTTTTTTGGGAAAGGAGATGATGATGCCATTCTTCATCCCGGAAGAAATGAGGATCTGCAAGCAAAGACTCTTGGCTTCCTACTCAACAAAGTCTCATCTGTCCCCTCCCTACACCACTAATATCATGCTTTGGATCCAGCCACAGTCTCTACTCTTTCATTAGGTAAAATACATATTGTAGTCATAAAAATGGTCTTTGTTTTTTTGAAAGTTTACCCAGGTCTGTGTAGAATAAATGCCATGCTGTCACACTGTCACTGGTGAATCCTTACTGAGTATGACCTCACCCTTCCTAATGAAGAAGTCAACTGTTTGCCCCTGAGGGCAAGGTCACTTGTCACAGCTCCACTCACATTGCTTCTGTTTCTGCTGAGAAATAGTTTTCAAAGAAGCTCTCTGAAAGTAGTCAATATTTTTGTTGTTGTTGTTGTTGTTATTGTTTCCAGACAGGGTTTCTCTGTACTGATTGGAGCCTGTCCTAGAACTGACTCTGTAGACCAGGCTGGCCTCACAGAGGTCAGCCTGCATTTGCCTCCTGAGTGCTGGGATTAAAGGTGTGTGCCAATCTTAGTCTCAATTTTGTCAGGATTTCTTAAGACAGAGTTTCTGTCCCTCCTGGTCCTGCAGCTGTTTAGTCTAAAATAAACCCACGGAGGCTTATATTAATTATAAATTGTTTGGCCAATGGCTAAGGCTTCTTATTTGCTAGCTCTCTCTTAGAATATTAGCCTATTTCTATTGAATATGTATTACCATGAGGCTGTGGATTACCCATAATTCTCTGGCATTTGCTACTCCTTTGGTGGCTACATGGCATCTCCTGGCAACTCTCTCTCTCTGTCTTCCTCTTCCCAGCATTCTCCTCACCTGGTAGCCTGCCT